AGTGTAATAATACGTTCTCCTGTTTTCATCAATATAAATCCATCGTTTCGAAACCGAGACGGACATTCTTGAAACGCAATGAATCGATTCTTCCATTTCATGGCGCCGACTAGGCTTGACTAGTCTGAACTTCAGTTGGAAAAAGACGACCGCCAGTTTTTTTCTTGTACCGCGAGCCTGTCGTTCCGCACGGTGTTATTAGACTGGTTTCTCTTTTATTGATAGTGTCGTACATTTCTGCGTGCTTGTAACGTTTGCAGAGGTTCCATTGACTAGCCAGGCGATCGCGTATAGTCGTCCCTTTCCGACCGGATACTCCTTCCGATCGTAAAGCTGTCGACGATGGCACGTATCACAGGGAACGCATTCATTTCGTTATGCACTTTATTCGTGATTCTTGAGAATGTCGCGCTAACTGCTTCGTAAAATATTATATTCTTACATCTGCGGTGCCCTTTTTTTTCACTTTAACCTTTGCAAGGACGACAATTCTAACAACCGCAGGGTTCACTCGTGTCCATAGCACATTCTATCGATTAAACGTTATTTAATCTGACTTTCTGTCATTAAAAAGCTAAAGAAATAATTTTATTGAAGAGAAAGTGACAAATAAATGTATAGGAAGCGATTAAGAGTTAATTATCTACCAGTCGATGAGATTGATAGGTTATGTTTGAACGATGCTTTCGTAACCGACGTAGCAAAAAAATAATTAATCAGGAACTTTTGAGTTGAAGTTTTCGCATTATTTTATTTTTAGATACAATTGAGTATTTCAACAATATAGGTACATACAATGATGAAAATACATTTTTAAAAAAAACAAAAATAAATGTATTGCCATTGGCTGCTCGAAACGTGGTGCATCATAAGAAATCGACATTCATTTAATTGCGTATAAATACGAGTAACGGATATGATATGTTTATAGGAAACGACGTTACTATACAGGTTTTTTTCCACATATTTCTATGCTGATCAATATAAATGAAACACGCTGTATACTTTCCTTTTTGTCTAATGTTATTGCAGTCGGTTCGTAATTCAGAGAGAGAATTTCCATCATTATAGTCTACTTAGACCCTTAATAGCCGTTAATTGGGAGATGGACAGTTCACACGCGTCTTTAGATAACAGGAATGTAGAAGAATGTAGAACATTCTGTCTGATAATCTACAAACAGATATTTCAACGTTACAGTCCACGATTCCCAAGCATATTGTCGACAACTGTCCACTACAGTTTTCTGCTACCAGCTCGTTATTCGCAATTGTTCATAGCAGAACAATAATGATTGTCAACGTCTCACGTTGGAAATGGTCGCATTCCCTTTACACTTTTCCTTTCCTCCTTCCACCACCGATGTCGAAACGAGTTATTCACGGAAAGAATCCGAATTGATTTCACTTGGTAGCCCGAAGTCGATTCGTAGACGGAAGTTCAGATAACAGAAGGCATCAAAGAAGTGAAAGAAGATTAAGAAAAGTGTGGCTAATCGGGGCACAATTATCCTTCATTCTTTTTCCTCGTTTTCAATGGCCGTTCTTAACTTTCCATTGGGTATAATTCCAATAATAAATTAGTTACCGTGGCTATAAGGCTTATACCGTGAATTGGAAACATGGACACTGAAGCATTTTTAAATGTTTTTGGAATACAGTCTCAGTTACTCTGATTCCTGTTTTATGTTTATAACAGAGGAGTGAAATAGATTGCGGAATGATTGTGAGAGACCATAGGTTAAGATAAAATATATTTCAAGTTCCAAATTATTATTTGTGTCGAACTTATAAAATGCAACAATACTCTCTGAGATAACTTAAAAAAAATATATTGCGTGTGACCAATTTTCTCATATTATTTAATAATTAAAATTTCATTAAGTACTGTTTCACAGTTCTATGCAAAAATTTATTGTTACTATATTGACTCGGGCATTTTAATAAAAGTTACTGAGACGCCTTTATAAAAAGTTGGAGCATTTAATAATAACAATTAGTTAATAAAAATTGTTTAATTCTAGACGGTAAACATTTTTTTCACTATTACTTTGACAAATTCTCGAAACAATATATTTACAAAGAATAGAAGCAATAAAAATGGGATAGCAGAATAGTATCTTCTCGTTTCGCATTTGTATGTATTTCTTATGAAGTAAAAGTTCCATGAATCGTATAAACTATAAACAAACATAAGCAAATAAATTACAATTGAATTCAGTGCCATTATGTCAGTATCGTACAAATGTTCTCCAGGAACATGCAATGAAATCATATTTGTAGATCGCAGGGCAAACGATTGGCTCCTTTCATAAGCTGACCTTTTCGGCTCTACTTTGTTTTAATGCTTGGTTCCATTGCAACTTTCAATACCAATACTGCCCTCCTTAGCTCAAGTGCCCTAATTAACGTTTTCAAACATCCGAGAAAAATGAGATTTTATAATTTTCTTTGTGATGTACTTGTTTAAAATAGAACACTTCAATATAGGAATTTATCATTTTTAAATTTTTTTACACAACTTAAGCACAAATAAGTGAAGCATAAAGAACTTAAACATAATACTTACCATCGTCATTATTATTATTAGAAACTATTAACGATTTTCAAAAAGCAAGGCGATTGGCTTCAATTTCGCAATCAAAAAGAAAACTTGGAAACTTAGAAACCACATAACCAATTAGATGTTAGGAAAGCATAAACTAGTAAAATCATCTGAAAAGCACTTAGGACAAATAAATTAGACTGTTTCTAGAGCTCTACAAAGCATATAAGACATTCCAATTTTAACTAAAAAGTGAAGAATATACGAAGCAATATTTCAAAAAATCTTGAAAAACAATCACTTCTTTGATTGGATATTTTAACTAAGGGGAGCAGAATAGAACTATGTAATAGAAAATCCCCAAACACAATATTTTCGATTACAAAACGATTTTCCTAGTACAATTTAGACACGTGCTTCACGTGATTGGTGAAAAGAAGCGAAATAGGGAAACAGAAATGTTCAGCCAGCGGTCGTGAAACTGTATTTCAGTCACGAAACTCCTGGGCGTCATCCCACGTTCCTCTCGCCTGTTCTTCAAGGTGTTGATGCCTGACACGTCCGTGAGACCGAATCCTCGTGTATTTATACGGCCTATTCACGAAGTAGACATAATCGTGGCGTGGCTGGATAACGGTAAAAACAGATCGGCGTGCATTCACTTTTCCCCGTTCCCGTGGCAGCGTGTCCAGCTCGAATGCATATACGCGCAGCAACAGCAGACGGAGATCGCCGCCGGCGGGCATGCAATACCTTTTAAACTGACCAGTCATTGATCCACCCAGTCGCCGTGTACAAATAACTCTAATGGAATTACCCTTTCCTTTCAGTGTTACGCTCCGAGGACGAAACCGATTTTCCTCGATTCGCTCTCGATTTTCGACCGAATACGGCTCCGCGAGAAAATCGAGCGAACGCAACGGCTCGTTCGTGTGCCAACCTCGGTACCTATTTCGAAATTCAACGTGTACCTAGTGAAATATCCCGGAAATAAATAGAAATATATAAACTGTAATTTAACTTTGAATGATTTTTTATTGTCAAATGACAATTTTTATTCGGGAGTAACTCGCTGGTTTTCTTCTATTTGTTTAGAGCCAAGTTGTCTTTGATACGTAATATCATAACCTGAATCGAAAGATGATTAGTTTAAAAGAGTAAAATTAGTAAACACTAGTGAGAACATGGGGTAGAATATTATACAATGTTGAGAAACTGAAGTTAAAATTTCTTTTAGACTAATCATTTCTCGACCCAAGTACTAAATTATGGGTCGAATAATGTATGGAAAAATAGTTATATTTAAAAAAAATAGAAGTGGCCTTGAAATCTTCGAAACGTCTCCATTTTCGGAGAAGACAAATGCTCCACGCGATGCATCACTGGAAATTAATATTTCCTAATAAAATTTAGTTCTATTTTCTACCGTTTTGTATTCAAGTTTTAAAAGGATTATAAAGATATTTATACTAATTGTGTACGAACGAAATTGTCTGAAATATTGGGAGTAAAAGGTTTCGAGAATTTTGAACAAGTCAGGTTTCAATTTAAGTAACAAGACGTTGCTTCCTCGTGCCTTCCACATTCCTTTTTTCCGTACGTCTCAGATTTATTATCATACGGTAGCATCTGGCGCTTATTAACCACGGTCCACTGAGATTTCGAGCAGTTTCTCGCAGGAAACGCTAATTCGTTAAATATGTTTCTGGAATGTACAGATGGCATCTAAGCAAATGGCGTCTATTAAGGCTGAAAAGTAGGCTACCGTCCGCGACCGAAGATGATTCAATGCTTGAGTGAAAGCCCTAACAACCGAAGCTGAATGCAAACGTTGTGACATGAAATACTTCCTTTCTCAATTGAAATTCCCCGAAGTACTTTGAACGCAACTTTGAACTGTTTCACCAATTCAAGTAGTTTAATGAAATTGAGTTCACATAACTTACGTGCACTAGAGAGCAGGGTTTAGGAAGATTCTATATCTTACGCATATCACAGAAAGAAGCATTGTTCTCTTATAACTGAAACATGGTGAACCCTTTAGAAGGTGCTATTATACAGAACGGAATACAAACCTTAAAAGAAATAAAAAAGATAACAAACAGTAGATGATCCTATTTTCGTTTGGAAACACTTCAACCCTCTAGTCAGTTCGATCCAAAATTAAATTTGTTGTTCTTATAGAAATTTGGAAGTTAAATTGACACCGTAGTACTAAAGATATTGCCTCGATATAACTTCTGCAGCCCAATTTAATTCAAGCAATATTAATACAACGGGTGTCTTGAACAGTACACAAAGATTCTTTCATCGCACAAAGTACCTAACCGTAAAATCCTAAAGCAGAACGTTCATTATTAAAAGCATCATGATTTAATATCCTGCCTTTAATCTTCACCTCGTCGTCGCCTATAACATGTATAATCATGGACACAATCTTCTCTTTTTGTTTTCAGACGTTTCCGATGCGTCGAGCCTCGAGAGGAAGGTGACGAGCAGGTTTCAGACGAGAATCTTCAAGATACCTCGAACGAATCCCGCAAGAAACGCCGCGTCCAATAAGAATTGAAAATGGTGACGATAAGCCAGCGGCGACGAAGGCATCCTCGATGGAGGATGCTTTTCACCGTCGTCATATTCGCTGGTCTGGTCAGGCATTGCGAGTTAACGTCCGCGAAAAGGTTAACCGACATCGGTTCATTCTCCTCGTCGTCAACGTTATCGCGAGGCTCCGCCGAAACGAGGTCCCAGGACGTGGGTTCGCCGAACGATCTCGCCTGGCAGGCCTGGCTCCTTGTGGATTCTCAATCGGGATCGCATTCTGGCTTGGATTCGGCGAGTTTTCTCCGACGAATAACACCGAAAAGCGTCTTCATTGCCCCTGCGTTGCCAGCTTTGCCGCCCTGTGCGGATGGCTATCGGGCGGACACAATGGGCAGATGCGTGAAAAACGTGAATATTGATCAGGAAGCTCACATCGTGTTCCTGCTCGAGCAATTGAACAGTCGATACAGGCCTCGAGGTGACTCGTCGAACAACAATCACAAGAAATCCAATGGACCGCTGCAGCTGAACATTCCTCTGCTAGGCAACACGAACTCTCAGTCGTCGAAACTGGACCACGAAGACACCAGGGACTCGATAAAAATCCCTGTGGTGATACCACCTCGCGAAAACTCCAGGGACCCGATAAAAATCCCTGTGGTAATACCACCTCGCGAAGACATCAGGGACACGATAAATATCCCTGTGGTGATACCACCTCGCGAAAACACCAGGGACTCGATAAAAATCCCTGTGGTCATACCACCTCGCGAAATCACCAGGGACTCGATAAAAATCCCAATGCTGATACCACCTCGCGAAATCACCAGGGACTCGATAAAAATCCCAATGGTGATACCACCTCGCGAAGACACCAGAGACTCGATAAAAATCCCTGTGGTGATACCATCTTACGAAGACACCAGGGACTCGATAGAAATTCCTGTGGTGATACCACCTTACGAAGATACCAAGGATTCGATAGAAATCCCTGTGGTGACAACACCTCGCGGAGACATCAGGGACTCTACAGAAATCCCTGTGGTGATACCACCTCGCGAAGATATCAGGAACTCGATAAAAATCCCTGTGGTGATACCATCTCGCGAAGACATTAGGGACTCTATAAAAATCCCTGTGGTGATACCACCTCGCGAAGACACCAGGGACTCGATAAAAATCCCTGTGGTGATACCATCTTACGAAGACACCAGGGACTCGATAGAAATCCCTGTGGTAATACCACCTCGCGAAGACACCAATTTGAAGGTAGAGGAACAGCCATTTGAGTCTATCATCGCTGCAACTGACCCACCGAAGAACAGTACTAAGTCAAACGACGACGAGACCAAGGACGAGATCATCTCTACTTCTGCAGACCTAGATGCCTTCTCGTCGAACGAAGACGACGAGGATATCCTGTCGAGGTACGACGAAGTGGTTCCTGTAGCTGAATTCCCTGTTGATGATTCGAATGAGACCAATTTTTCAGAAGTGGTCGACTATAAGATTCCCATCGATCTGAAAACACTGCTGAATATATCGAACCTGAAGGCGATCAACATCACCGACGACGCAGCCGTGTGGAAAAACGACTCGCAGTTCCTGAACTCGACGGAAGCGACCCCTATGCTGATCCTTCTTCCGTCGACGTCGACGAATTCGGTGGTCGTCCCGAGCGTAGAGGATCTCCAGACGGACAACGAGACGAGCTATCGGACGAGCGTACGGCAGGACAACGTGACGGGGAACGTTACCGATACAGAAACTATCGGTGAGATCGTTCCAGAAACTACACTCCCGAACCAAGTGCTCGATGTACCACAGATCGTGGTAGACAAAATCGAGCGCAACGACACGCAAAATGGAAACTCGTCCGAAGTTCGGAACTCGAGTGTGCACGGGTCACAAGCACAGGTAGCGATGGGTAATCGTGTCGCTTGTGCCGGTTTGAGCCGTGAGCCGGCCTGAAGCCGGCTGGAATCCCCGTGCCAGCCTAATTAAAGCTGGCGACGAGTCACCATCATAGGCAGGAACTCCGGGCCTTGACGAGTCGAGATGTTATCCCATACCCCTACAAGCCTCCGTCGCCCGACGTTCGAGTTACAGTGTAAACACACAGAATAGATCACGCATGAATAAGAATTTAAACTTTTGCTCTATTCAATGGACTTTATCAAAAATGTTATGAATTCATCGAGGAGATTTTTTTTTCCTCGTGAAAATAAGTCCAAACACGACATAATTCGGAGTATTTTCAGTATTACTTGTGTAGTTCGATTCGCAACAGTAAGGAAAAGGTGGCATAATTAATCATAGTTTTGCCTTTCTGTTGTAGTAAAAGTAATTGTTTATTTTACTTATATCTGATCATTTGCATACAAATTTTTAGTATTGTTGCTGTATTTGAACTTGCTGCCATTCGTGCGTTGTTTTACTATGCTGATATAATATTAGATGTTTGAGACAACTGAGAATCGCGATCTGATGTGATGTCCCATTTATTCCTTGGAACTAAATTATTTTGTTGCTGGTGAAAAGTGGCTGCAAGGATCTTACATTTGATTGTATATGTAATTATTTATTTATGTAATTATGCAATGCCATTTTTTATTTTAACCACAGTCAAATAAAGTATCCGGAATTATTCGTTAAGAATGTTTTGAATTTTTCAATCTTTTGGAGACAATGGAAAAATTGGAGACAATTCTGTAGAAGGTGCCTTGGTATTTGCAATGTATGAGAGATTTTTTCACAATTTTTGCAAGTCTCTGAACAGAGAAATACAATTTTTATGCATACGTTATATCGCGATACAAATTGTATGTAATTAAATATAATCTGATTTATATCAGGTTTGGGCTTATTTTCATCAGGAGAATCTCCTACATTAATTTATAACATTTTTAACCCTTTGCACTCCGCACGATTTTGGACGTTGGCTATCAGCTACTCAGCGCCACTTTACAGCAGAAACAAACATTTACAAACCCTCGTATAACTTATTATAATTTTAGAACTAAGTAACGTATTATAATGATATTGGACTGATATCAATTGGCTGAGATCGAGGAATGTTTATTTGTAAAAAAATCAATATTTTATTGTTTATAATTTTGCAGAGTATGATAAATTTTAAAACACTCCCCAATATGCATTGCGGGCTGGTTGGTGCATGTTTGACAATAATAATTTGTTTGTCGCCTGCCACCAGATGTTTTCCTGTTAGAACATACTATACAGTCTCGTTTTCTTCGTCCCACATCTGGAATATGTAATTTATTATCTAATCTATTGTCCGCAGAAGGTGTGGATGGGCGCGTTCTTGACACACGAAAATCGCCCCTCAATTGGTCAATTAGTGTTTTGACAAACTTGTGGTGTGTCATTGGCGTTTCATTAGTTGTTTGTTTTGAGATGCGATATATGATGTATGAGTTTATCACACACATTTCCAACCCCCAAAAAAATAGTTTTCTCCACCATTTCAACGATTTACGGAGGAAACAATACGTCGAAGCGTATTGATCCGCACGATCCACACCACCCATATTTTCCTCCAGATTTAGACTTGTTTATTTATAAATATAAATCACACTATACAGTGCGTGCTATGTTCGCATACCGACCTTTCTTCTACAAGCTCCCCTTATCGCTCTTTTCAAGTGGTTTCGAGAAGTGCTCGGACCGTCGTGAGCACGCGTCTCATATTCTTGTCTAACACAAAACCCGCCGCCATTTCTTGTATATATCTGTTAGTAATCTTACGATATTATGATGCGATTTCTTGTGCCATTTCAAGAGAAAACTTCAGGGAAACATGCATGTCTCGAAAAGTTGCGCGGAAATAACTCAATTCGCCGTAATCACTAATAAACTTGAATGTCCCCTGAGAGGGGACATCCGAGTGATATGCTAGAATTACGATGTCCCCTGAGAGGGGACAGCGGAGTGCAAAGGGTTAAGAAAGTACACTGAAAGGAGTAAAAGTTTAAATCTTAATTCGTGCGTGATTTATTTTACGTGTTTACACTGTAGCCCGAAGATCGGTTGCCAGCGGGTTATAGGGTATCAGATAACATCACTACTCGCCGAGGCTTGGCTGGGCAAAGCCTTGAGTCTCCGCTGACCTCATAAAGCTGTCATTCCAGCTCGCTCAAGCGATCGAGCCGAGCCAGGATGATCGTTGGCTCGAGCCGGCTTGAGCCGCTTGGCTCGAAAACCCATCACTACATACATATAGATATACATATGCATACATACAAGGAGGACCATATACATGGATACATGTATGTATATGTATATATACAATGAGTTTACCAAAATCGTTTTGCAAGTTACCGAATTAGGCCTGAACAGAGACGCGTTTACATGGCTGATAGCGCAAGGTGTAATACATACACAATTATATCCGAAGAATATCACTAGAAATGTACCATCGTATCTCGCGATCACGAAGCATGGTTAATTCACAATTCAAAGACTCTCAGCACGATTTCCGTCTTTCCTATTCCCCAGACAAACGAAACGGGTCTGCCTCCATTATCCCAAAGACCATGGGCCCATTAATTCTTGAACGCAGCTTCGTCAAAGTCCTTTAATAAGATTACGCAACGGGGCTACGATTTTCTCACACCATGTCCCCTGTCTCTTTTATCACTCCCCCTCCTAAGTACTATATGCGATCGATCGAAAGGCCCCCCGTCTATCGATTCTCTCGGGCGACGTACGAATCCCTCGGCTGGCACCGCGAATCGCTAGCCGGCACAAGAGTTCACGACTCTTTAATTCATTTGGCACAGTTCCACAGTCTCTAGGCGTTTCCCATCGGGAGCAACGAGAGGCGTGTAAACGCGCGCGGAACTACGTAAAAATCTTCTCGGCGACACTCCATTATCCACCGACAGGTGTCCCCGATATATCGACACGAGCGGCCCCGTTTGAGGTTCGTCCCCGCGAGCAATTTCGAGACGGCCCCTCGAGAGGGCGACACCTCCGAGAAACGGTTTACTGTTCTGCGGTTTCACGTGGCCGAATCCCTCATCAGCAGCATCGCCGGTCCAGAAGGAGATCGGTGGTTGTCTCTGCCTTTGGCCGCGGGACGTGGTTTCCACCTGTTGACTGGAGGACGCCTGTTGTCGCGACACCGTTCTCCACGCGGACAGTCCCCGATGGAAGGGTTTCTGATGGCCGAACACGCTGCTCTTCGTGCTGGCATGCGGTACGTCGTCCGGCGGATAGGTGGCTCTCTCCTTGTAATCCTGACTGTGTATACTGTTCACTTCTTCCGAGGAAAATGTTATCGGTTGCTCGACATAGGCGGGATAGTGTCGGTTCTCTTGGGTGGGTTTCAGATTCAGCGTTTCCGGCTCGAAGGTTCTGAAGGAAATCGAGACTTTGGATTTCTTTAGGAATTCAGTCTTTTTGATGTCGGGCGATTGCTCATCGATCATGTGGATCTTGGTGATGGGATCTTCTTCCGCGTACTGGTCGTGAAACCCGGGGTCGTATAAAAGGGATTCGGAAGAAGTTGGTGAAGCTTCCAGTTCGTCGCTCTTGAGATCCTCCATTGGTTATGATACGGTTCTCTCCTGATCGGCTTGTAGTCTTCCGTGGACATTAATGGACACTGCACCGTGGACGTTCTGGGGGGAGAAGACCACCTCTGGTTCTGTGTTCGATTCCTTTTCCAATGCGAACAGTTCCTTCAAGTATTAATCGGGCCTCTCGGTGTTAACCATGTGATTAGTATCGGGTGTCTTTGGGCTGTTCCGCACTCTATCCGTGGTTACGTCCAGAAGTGTCGTTTCCAGGATCATCTCGCCGTTAATGCTAATTTTGCTCGACACATTGCTACCAGCCTCATCCTTCTCCTCTCTCTGCGCGGTCCTGGACTCGTTAAAGTGCATCGTGGCGTCATTCAGCAAATCGTCCATCGACGTTTCGTTCATCTTCGTCTCGTCTGCAGCAGTGTCTATCTGTTTTCGATGTTTATTCCGGAATCGTTTGATGGCTCTCAGAAGTATCGCCATTCCTGTCTCTCCATGCTTCAGAATTTCACCGCCCTCCGTCTCCGACGATTCCTCCTCCGGCAGGTCCGTGCTCTCCGCGTAATCCTCCGTCTCCTCTTCGTCGTCGTAGAAAGACTCGACAACCTCCTGTGACATGTATGTGTACTCCCCGTACAATTTTTTCTAAAAACAAACACTTAGCTGTTCGTCACTTTTTGATCGAAGAAACACGTGTAGGCCTAATTTACCGATTAAGAGTCTTTTGTTTTACAAATAAGATTGATAGTATTAATGGCGTGAATATCCTCGAGCTTCTGGTGTAAAGACTAAGATCACACGCTTCGTTTTCTGACGCAACTTAATATGATATACTATACAGAGTAGCAGCGATAGTGGAAAGCCGTACTAAAATAATGATTGGAACAATAGATTCCGTTCCAAAAACACTATGTTGATACATATATATTTCGTGTTGCGCGTTCTTTGCTTCGTGTGGCCTTAGTCATGTGATCGACAATCCAAAATGCTTTTTTCTTTTTAATGGAATTGTACTTTTAGATTTAATACTTGAATGTAAGGAAATTATTTAACGAAATTCGGTACCTTTATTAGAGGCTTTCGTATGTCTAAGACGGTATTATGTTAATAAGGAAAAAGTCGAAACTATTTTAAGCAGAGAAAGTGATAAACCACCGGATTAAAAAGAGTTGCGTAATTATCCCTGTTCAAATTCGGCCGACAGCTGGACACCGCAAGGAAAGCTTTCTAAAGCCAGGGTGTGTACAGGACGTTTCAAAATCACTGATACAAATTTCCTTTCTCAGTTTGTGAACGAAGCAATTGTGTATATATTATTAATTTCTTATTTCTGTACTCCAATCAGTACAACGATCCATTTTATTGACTGAAAATGTCACTAAATATTACAATCGGACTGTAATAAACAAGGAACTAGTGGTTTGCAAATTAAACAACTGAATCTTTTAAACATTTTCGTTCCTTCCAATAACTTTTATTTATCACTTAAGTCGTGAAAGCGGAATTTTAACTGATACCGCAAAATTTACAAACTTCGTACTTCAAAATTCAGAAAAAACATCTGATATATATGGATGTACCAATTTAATTTTTTTAATTATGTACACTTCCAATTATTGCCTCCGCTAACGTTACTAAAATTCACCTAAAACCTGCGACTAAACACTACAGCAAAACGAGCAGATCCATGCTTACTAGATCTATTTTCGTAATTTTCGAAAACAAAAGTACTTCTACGAGATGCGTATTAGTTGTTTAATCTAGGCCCGTTCGGCGACGTAAAAGTAGTAGGAAAGTGAATATCGAGATTCGGATCCCAGAGACAAATTTTGTATATCTTTTGGAACATTATATGTACCATATAAAGGATTTAGATACTCCAAAAATGGTAGGTGTTACGTGCCTGTAAGGCGAAAAAAACACTTTAAGCGGTTTATACCCTATTAGGGTATCACTTTCTCTTAGTGTCCCAATGATTCTTGCTGTTGATACCTAAACAATTTATAATCCAAAATTCATTGGAGCAGTGTCGCAACCTTTTCCTTGAAAACGTATCTCCACGGCTCCGAACAATTTTTCCGGCGTAACAACGAAACCGAACTGTACACCGCGCCCGTTGCACGTGAGGCGAAATATAAGTTAACAAAGGACTTGCTCAAAATCACATTACTTTGCAGTGTTCTTACTCCGTATGCGTCACGATTCAAACATCTCGCGGCACGCAGCCAGAGGAATACTTTCGGAGTATATATTGCGCTGTTATACACGTATACATACATCGACAAATGGAACCAACTGTTATGGAAACAATAGAACCGTAAGACGATCGTAATGCTCGCGGTTAATCATTTAAAGTCCGTGCGTAAAGCGTCTGCGCGCAATAAGAAACTAATATTGAGCACCGATAAAAAAAGTCATGGATCATCACTGCCGAACTTGAAACCCGTGTCCGATCAGAAGCGGTATTGTTCTCGCGATAATCATCCAATAATAAATAAAAATCAGAGGGATTTTATAATAGCAGGCGAATCTGTATAGCGGAATTGGTTAGGATTTCGCGCATCGCAGCCCTCGATCGAATATTAAGAAAGATATCACCTTGAGAATAATCTGTGTGTGTGTGTGTGTGTGTGTGTGTGTGTGTGTGTGTTTTTAGGTTCGTACACGCGGAATCTGGGTTCACGGACTCGCGAAAAACGTACTTGTGACCCCGGTATATCGGATCAGACTGATTTTAGCGGTATTGCTTTATTTGTAGAAATTTAAATCGCAATTCGTCGCGTAAAGTCTGGAGAGGTATGCTGGTCCTCTATGCGGCAACGAAATATTACAAATAAGAATTACAAAATCTCATCACTGTGAAACATTAGAGATAACGAATGAAGAAAACAATCGTGTTTTGTTAATTGCCAAATCTTTATGCACACGAATCTAATAATTTTTCGGAACGCTACGTTCTCTCAGACACGTACAATTTCGAATATTTTATACCACTCCGGCGTAATCGAGGCCAAGCATATACTCTCGATTGTATAACAAAAGCACGTATCTATATAGTATGGATGTTTTCGATGTGCGAGCCAATCATTGTTCTACGTACAGACTCCTCTCTATTATCGTCTGATTTGTTGTACACGATTATTGTCCAGGCATTAACCTGAAACGCTTTTGTTGCCAAGGCTCGGGCTTTGGGCAAAAAACGAATTTACGAAGATCTGAAGCATTTCTCCCTATAAAATTATTGAATTCGGGACGATAATCGAGAGGAGTCTGTAATTCGAAAGTAACGATCAGAACAGTCAGAATCTATCATCTTCCCTATCGTCAGTGTTTACAGCTATCGTCTTCGATCGTTTTATTTTCTCCGAGACGCGCGTGAAAACACTCTTCGGCGCGAATTTACGAAATAATCCGTGAAATACAGAGAATCGAGATCCATGAAAACGCGTTAATCACTCTCCGGATTTTAGTCGAAATGTAATTTCCTACGTGGTGATCTATTCACGTATAATTCAGAAATGAAATTACGAATCTGACATCGCGGCCAGTAATTTCAATTGCTCTGCGTACGCTTCGATGTGGTGTGTAATCTCTGTTTCTCATCTACTGAATGTTAAACCCGTGTACATATTAATTTTATTAAAAGAGAATTGTATATACAAGCGTAATTAAGAAACGTCATCGGCGTCTTAACGTGTATTAATTGTAACTGTATTAAATATTATTGTATTATTTATAGCTAAAATATATTGATGTATATTATATTTGTCGTGTTGTGTAGGAGTCTTGTTAGATCGCAAATGGAAGAAGTTCACAGAATCACTCGATCGTCAGTCTTATACCGAAATGTTTGCGCTTTGTTATTATTTACACAATCTGTCCAGGCATGATACGCGACTGCGTTACAAACCATTTTACTCATTAAACATTTTTTATTGTACATAATTTTAATTGTTAATGAAACTGCATGTTACATTGTACCATCGGCTGTATTTTTTACTCCTCTGAATCCCCTGGCTAGGAAAAACTTCTCCGTCGATTCATCTCTTGTTGCCTGAGGTCTTACACTTTTAACGGTTTTGTAAAACCTTAATAAATCTTTCTCCAGTTGCTGAGACATTCCTCCTTCCCATACTTTACAAAGCAACGTTCCATCTATTCGTGTGACTTGCAAGGCAAACTTCATAGCAGCATACGCAAGTTTTATTATATTATCATGATCTAAGTTTCTTACACCGCACGCATTAGGTGCCATATCTGACAAAACTACATCAGCTTTTTGACCATTTAACATGTTCAACAGTTCACTTTGAGATGCAACATTTGTAAAGTCCATTTTACTTAATATACTTGCACCTTGGATGGGATGGATTGACAGCTTATCTATTGCCACTACCTTTCCAATAAGATCGTCAGTCTTCCCATCTGCATTTGTTTCCTTGACCGCAACCTGTGTCCAACTGCCAGGTGCAGCACCACAGTCGATCACAACTTGTCCAGGACTAAGTATCTTGAATCTTTCATTTATTTCCACTAACTTGAAAGCACTTCTGCATCTATAGTTTTCTTGTTTTGCCATTTCTACATAAGGATCTTTTATCTGTCTTGTAAGCCATAACTGGGAACTGTGCTTTTTCCCTTTCAAATTTTGTGGCGTTTGTCGGAATAATGTAGCGCAAGCATGTAACTTCCTTATTATTAAAGAATTCCTATGATACAAACCTTTCATATTTCGTTATAAATATAACCTAAAAACAGTTGTCCATGAAAAAAGATCCAAACGTCGAATTATGTATATACACACTGACAGAGAGTGACTGTATTTATAGTTCCATCGTCGTTATAGCTGATTATTGTTGAAAAGAGTCAATACAAATAAATTGGTATCTAAATGAATTCACAAGACAGAATTCGATCACAAATACATACTTTCTTCTTTTGAGCAATTGCGCGTGAGGTGCGTTCTGCTTCTATTTAGTGTCAGCTGATTAAAACAGTCGAATACGCATGCGTGTATACCCTACGATGGTAGCGGAACTTCGTAGTTACTGGTAGTTACGGTAGTTACGAAAAGTATCTCGTGCTGTTTGCCGGTGAAAATGTGATAGAATTCCACAAGTAAACGATTGTTCGAGCGAATGTTGCGGTCAAAGAAATAATTTATACAATGAACCTAACCACGGGGAATCCTCACGGGAATGGCTTACTCTATGCTGGTTTCAATCAGGATCAAGGTATGTGACCGAGTGTGCTACATTTGACAGTCCGGTCACGTACTGTCAAATTTATTTTTTTTCTTCTAACCTCTGCGTCTAATGCTTCTGTCACAAATTTATCATTATTTTATTATTTTATATGACTAATATCGGTTTGATATCGCAGAACCTGTTTTGCTGAGGCGGTACTCTTTAGAAAGTAATTGAAATCTGAAATATTAGCATCGTTCTTTAGTTTCTAACCTTAATCGTAATCTTATTTTCGTGAATATTTGATAATAATCTATGTATACGAAACTTATCACGATAAATTGTTTTGAAATAATCTGTGTTATCTGTTGTCTGGTTACAAATTCAATCACTCTTATAATTATGAAAATGAATTATTAAGCAGTGCATGTCCTATTTATCTCATGTTATCTGCTGAAAGTAATTTTGTATTTCATACATTAAAGTAAATAAATGTACTCGATGTAATACAGATTCTATTCAGGTTATTAGTAATTTCATTTTTGATACCCTCATTCTTTCTTGTACATGTATTGTGCGATATGTTGCTGCTATATAAGGAATTTAAAGATAATTCTGTTTATCCAATTGTAATGGTTTATCTCCTTAGTTTTCTCTGTGTTTGCACTAATGCGTACATTGAATAAGAAATATTCAAATAATGTATGACAATCACGAAGAAAGAAGATAAATACATAATGCACAAGTAGATAACAATATCATTATTACTTGTATAATTTTCCACTTATAGGATGTTTTGCTTGTGGCATGGAAAATGGCTTCAGAGTATATAATTGTGATCCTTTAAAGGAAAAGGCACGTCATTTCAGTGATGGAGGTCTGGGTTATGTGGAAATGCTATTTAGGTGTAACTATTTAGCACTAGTTGGCAGTGGAGTAAAGCCAATGTATCCAACCAATAAAGGTACAGCTTTGAGTACTTTTGATGCTTTTAGTATGCAAGAAAGATAAATTATTTATCTTATATATTTGCAGTTATGATATGGGATGACCTGAAGAAATCTCCAGCGATTACTTTAGAATTTAATGCTCCTGTAAAGGGTGTTAAACTGAGAAGAGATAGAATAGTAGTCATTTTAGAAGGTGTTATAAAAGTTTATACATTCACACAAAATCCTCAACAGCTACATGTCTTTGAGACTAATCCAAACCCTAGAGGATTATGTGTACTGTGCCCAAATAGTAGTAATTCCTTACTTGCTTTCCCAGGTAGAAAAAATGGACACGTGCAAGGTAAACTTTTAAATAGAAAACCCTTATCAGATTTGTACTTTCACTATATGTAATAACTTCTTTCCTTGTTACAGTCATAGATTTGGCTAATACAGAAAAGCAGCCTTTAAACATAGAAGCACATGAAACACCTTTGTCTTGTATAGCTTTAAACTTACAAGGTACCAGATTGGCTACTGCTTCAGAAAAAGGTACCTTGATTAGAGTATTCGAAACACAAAGTGGAAATATGATTAATGAATTGAGGAGAGGGGTTAATCATGCGAACATTTATTGGTAGGTAAAAATAGAATAACCTAAAAAGTTATTTTATTATCGAAATAATTCACTGATTAAACTGATGTAATTTCAGCATAAATTTTAATCATGATTCTACTTGGCTGTGTGTAGCGAGCGATCACGGAACTGTACATGTTTTTGCCGTAGAAGATCAAAAATTGAATCGTCAATCTAGTTTAGCATCTGCCACTTTCCTACCAAAATATTTCAGTTCAAGTTGGAGCTTTTGTAAATTTCAAGTTCCAGGTGGCCCGCAATGTATGTGTGCATTTGGGACTGATAACAATAGTATTATAGGTTAGTAATAGCAACGTAAACGCCGGTATCCACTTGTTGCGTATTCCCGTATCGTGTCATCTCGACGTATCATCCAGTGATACGATACTGTGCAACGATGTGTGATTTTTTCCCGTATCCACACTAACTCGACCGAATGCTGTATCATTCTTTGGATATGACGGCGAGAAACCGAGAAATGATCGATCGAACCTGTTGCGTATCTTTGTATCAAGTTTTGATATTTAACGGTGCAACGCTTCCCCGTCCTCACTGATACATAACGGCGATACGATACGAGGATACGTAACAAATGGATACCGACCTTAACAAGCTGCTGCTAATAACACATTAATTCATGTCATTTGAAATTATAATTGATATTATCTTACAGTAATATGTGCAGATGGTAGTTACTACAAGTTTGTCTTCAATAACAAAGGCGAATGCACGAGAGACGTTTATGCACAGTTCCTTGAATTATCTGATGATAAAATGTGATCAGAGAACACAGAAGAGGTAAACTGCTAAATGAAATGAATTTGACACATTTGTATGTTTTGTGATTTTCTTTGTTTTATATATTGGTTGTTACACAAATGACTGGAGATATATTTTTAATACATTGATTTTAGTATTCATATGGATATGAATAAGAGTAGTCATGTGGGAAGTGAGAACTATTATATTCGAGATCGTACTCTATTTAATAGAGGACCAAATGAAGAGTACTACTACTTATTGGTGATATGTGCACTGTGTGTGAATTATAAACGGAAAATGAAAAAAAAAAGAGAAACTTTATGAAACACTAGAATGTGTTATTGACTTGTTATGTGGGCCTATTGTTGGAATACCGACTTATAGAACCACAAATTCTTGAATGTTACACTTGAGAAAAGGAACTCAATATTTAAAACACCGTTTGATGTGTCCATGTCATGAATATATTCGTTACATTTAAATTACTGAGTTTGTAGCTAAAATTAATACACCATATCATAACGGAGGTATTGTATGCAAAAAACGCAGCCATTTTAGTAGTTCATGTACCCTTCATGTTTCAACTTATGTATTTTTCTCGTGTTCATTTCATAAAGCTCTAACTACTTCGTTAATTCTCATAAAAAATATATCATGCTTGACTACCTTTCATATCAACTGTAAATAAGTTTTCAAAATAACATACAAATATATACTTTGGTTAACTGCCACACGTGACAGTGATTAACCAATTGAATCACGAGACGTATATAACGTAATAGAATTTTATAATCTTTATTTTTATGATTTCCGTACATTTAATATAGAGATACACAAAACAGAGATACATTCAGTTGTTAGTACTGAAATATTACCACAAAAATATGAAGGTTGTAGTTTCACGAAACAGTTGGGATTGAATTATAAAATAAAATTACGAGACGAAACTCTGTATCTATTTATAATAAAATGTCGAATTATCTGTTGCAAGCGATTTATTCCGTTTTTTTTCGTTTTTCTTTTTATCGTTTGAAATGATTGTATGAATTCCCGTGAAATCTTAGAACGCTCTAGCAATTAAGATTCAGTCTTACACAAGGAGAATGTGCCATTTGGCTATACGAAATTTTCAATTAAAACGTTCAGACGATTGTGCAGTGTCGTTGTGAATTTAAATGATTTCAGGTTAATCCGCGGCAATAACCCAACTGAATAGTATATTACGGTATATGCGTCGCCGCATTTCGATATGCAGTTTCGTTATTACAGATTTAAAAATTAAACTGTAAGTCTGTGCGTTGTCGTCCAGAGTATAGTATGCAAAGTATTCGTTATTAAACAACGCGAATCGTGAACGAGTATTTGTGAGATGCACGAGCAAGAAATAACACGCGTAATACATGAAGCAAGCAATTTGTACTGAAGATCGTATTTGAGCTTTGTAAACCGAAAAGTCTTTGTTGTGTTTTACACATACAGCGTTTTGCCAACATGAAATTATTTTCATTTCATCGTCTTGACGCTTTTTCGTTCGTCATTCTCGACAACGTGGCTACGTCTACACCCATCGCAGTGTATTTATTATATCCTTAAACCTCGAACGGCTTGTTCGCGCGTGGCTGAACGGTTTTCGCTTTCTGTACGACTGGCGGCAGGGGCTTTTTCTTCACACCATGAAGAATGTGTGTTAGTCCTATCTTCGTCTCAAGGCTCTTATAAGTACTGTAGACCACGAACCACAGGTAGGAGCATATGATTACGAGAAACAGAACGATTATACCTGAAAAAATATGACATTTTTTAGTAACGAATTACGATGTAACGCACCAAGTAAGAAATTTACATGTAACGCTTTTTGTGCACGAGTACCTGAACGAATATTATAATCTGAAGTTCGTGAAATATTTTTTTAGCGGCATACAATTTTATTATACGGACAATGACTAAGCTAAAAATTTTTGTGTTTTTAAATTTTAACTGTATAGTAATATTTTTTGGTGCACTTTCATATATCTGTCGAAGCATGCCTTTCAACTTCAATAAAAAGCCATTTTTATCCAGCTTTTGTCACTTTTTGACTAATGAACATTCAAGTTAAATGGTTCTTGTGTTACTTATATGGAATCGTGAATGTAAAACGAAGGGAATGCAGAATTTAGGTATGCAGAGAATACACATTGGATTCTTTAGAAATTCTGTACGCCATTTTGTAAATAGTACGAATTTTTCGTGCAGGCAGCAACGAAAATTGTTCGCGTTACTTGTAATATTAATGGCCAGATATTTTTAAATGTAAATATATTATCAATAATATTGTTATCTATAGACGTACGTTCACAAATGTCCGACTTGCCGCCCAGGGTAGCGATAAAGGGGCAATCCTGTTCTACTAAGAACAAGGAAATCGTCAACGCTGATATTACAGTCATCATGACCATCATCCACGGCGCCATGAAGTGACGATTGTTCTACCGGAATAAATTACGCTTGTTTTTATCACGTAAATATTCATTTCTACGTAAAATTTCATTACCGTTAATGCTCCGTATAGGAGCAAAATCGTAGAATTAAAATGTATCAGTGTGATGACTAATCCGCAATACATCGAGTAAACCGTTTCTGGAACAGACGTTCGTTAAAAATTCTGCTTCTAATGAGAACACGCGAAAAGAAGAATTCATATGTAAAGTAACAAGTAGGTTTAACAATTTCTTAATCCTAGTTGTGTATAATTCTATAAGCACCGGTTGCGTTGTGATGCGCCATATCCATTTTCTTTGTATTAAGGTAATTAGACGATATATCTTCCAGGGCTTCCCTCTCGAGAGCATCTTCTGTATCTCTCACCACCATCTCTCGAATTCCCATCGCGTGGGCCAATGCCAGTACGAAAAATATCATACTGAATCCTGATGTGAACTGCATCAGAAAAATGTCTCAAATCAGTTCCAACAAATCAACAATTCCCGTGGTTATATCGTGTCATAACGACATCTCGACGTTCTGTTATATTTACCAATTGAAAGACAGCTATCAAAACTGTCCCCTGTTTCAAATTGAAATAATGCAAGAAATTCTTCAACAGTCCCACTTTCATCTTGCTCGTCCTTTGTGAACGGGACTTTCAATAGAATATTATTCCTGAAATATTGGAAACGCTTTGCTCGTCAACAATAAAACGATCTACATTTCGGGTAGTTGCATTCTAAAGAATCACAATAAAAGCATCGTAAAATCGTTCTACGAGCTCGCGGTTAATTATTACAACCCCCGACAGAAAATTCAGGCAAAGTGTAACGTATGGGGGAGTCGCTGGCGTCGCTCTGGCCAGAGTCACGATAACAACAACACCTGAACGAATAGCGTTTGTTGTCAGAAATGCAGTCGGCCTAGATATTCACCGTGTTCGAAGGGAAAGCGAGCAATCCATGTCGTTGTACTCACCCCGCGGAAAAAAAAGGAGCAGAGAATATCGTTGTAACGTGTGGCCTCACAGAATCAATAAAAACTTTCACTGTTCCTTGCTGATCGAAAGGAACGATTTGATTGTCGGACGATGTGTCGGGCGCGCGAAACGGGACGAAATGAGAGGGATGATCGTGTCACAATTCCACGGATCTGACCGACTTTAACGCGCAAAACGCGACTTCACTTCGTTCTGGGGGTAGGAACGCAACCCCTAACACTGGGATTGCATGACATGCGCACCACGGCGATCCACTGCCGCATCCTTCAAGGTGTATCCGTTCCCAATTGATCCATTGATTGTCGCCGACAAAACATTTGAGACCGACCACGCACCGTGTGCGTTTTACACGATTTATTCGATGCAACTGGTGGCGCACCGACCTCGACATAATTTAATTATAAGAGCTTGTTGCTTCCAGGAATCGTCTTGTAATTAGATCTAAACCTAAGACGTGTTTCGCCCACCTCTAGATCCGTATTATGAGCAAAATCATGTGAATATTTCATTTTGGATAAACTAATTTTGTATTTATACAAACATGTAAAAATATATGGGTGCTCTGCGAACCTAATGTTTAATTGTTAAGCTCATGAATTTTCCCTATGAATATGAGTGTACTAGGGATAAGTATGAAGACTTTAAATGTTAAATAATTATAAATTATTATTATTTAACTGTTACTGTTCTTGGTATGATATTGTTATTAATTGTTTATCACCCAGTTTTTCTTTAATTCTATTATTACTATTCGCTATGGAAGTATAAATTTTGCTGTTATTATAATAAAACAATAGCGCCCGTCCGTTATTTAAATTCGATTTTTCTTTCATCAATCATAAAATCCATCATAGTTAAATAATTTTATTATTTTTATCTACTTTCAAATGTACTTCATTTATTTTGTACTTATAACTTTCTGAAGTGAAACTTATCATTTCTGTAACGAAAGTTTCGAACCTTCAAGAAGCTATTTTACCGTCTAATATTAAAAACGAGCATACATAAAAATTAATATGCTCGAATTTTTCCAATTTTAGTACGTAATATAGTGGTGTTTTCCAAAGGACATTTAATTAATTTGTGACATTTTAATAATATCCCTTGTTAGTGACAATGTGGGCGAACTTTGAGTCATAGTTTGAAAGTTGGTTCGATCGAGTTCAATCATCTTGAAAGTAGTCATGGAAACGCGGCGCGAACTTCGGTGTTTGTTTGTGTCGCGGGTAACAAGGCGCAAATAACAGCTTTTAATTTCTCACGACTTGTGACAGTTCGGTGACAGCTATTAAACAATGTGGATGTGTTGACGTGTTCGAAAACGATCTTTGCAAAAGGTTATAAATGGATCGAAGGTATTCAAGGGTTGAGATGGGGGCGGGCGCGTTTCATCATCCGCCAAGAGCGAAATACAGCGAAGAAACGAAAAATTTGATCAAACGTAAGCGAAATTTTTATAAATTCTTTTTACGTAATATTCCTAAAGTATTAAGTCCTATTTTTTTCTTATTTTCTTCATATTTAATTTCAATATTTTCTTAATTTAAGTTATGAATTAGAAAGAAACTTGCGACCTTTACACAAAATCTTCATTTAAGTTTTCGAAAATGCAAGTTTTTAACACTCATACTGTAATGTATGTTAGATTATTATCAATATAAACGATAAGACGCACTACTGTTAAACAAATTTGTGCCTAAATTAGTGCAAGAGACGAAATCATATTGACAGTACTTTATTAGCTGTATTTTTTAACTGATTTTACTATTTTCTTATAAAGTAGTTTATGGTTTATTTCTGTGTTCCAACAAATTTTTGCACTATTTAAATACACATTTTATGGGCTTTTTATTCTAGTTTTAATGGAAGAGTCTAAGGTGACTATGATGCAAAGGAAATTAATTCAGAATGCTGTCGACAGAGGCGAATCGTTACCCCTTTCTTTGGAAAAATCGAATGCGAAAGTAAACAAGCAAAATACGGAGTACCAGGTAGAATTTTTAATCTGTTTGCAGAAGTAATTATATATTATTTTTATAATAAATGACCGTATTAGGTAATGATGCCTACTGTTTGGAAAAAACGGAGTCAAGACGCGATTGTTAAAAGTGGAGCGTACGAGAGGGAACAATTTAGGAGGCTAGCTCCCTTACGTAAGAATATGTATCTACTATTTTAAATTCAGTTTTGTGAAACGATCAGTCTACAAGTTTTTTACTGTTCCAAATTCAGCAAACAAAGAGAAACAAAAACGTCATTTGGCGTGTATGATGGCGTACGGAAAAGATATGCCGGAAACCCCACGCGATCCGAAAGTTCTTCACAGAATGAGACGAGAACCACGTCAACCAGACAATGGCGATCCAATTGACGAGTGTAAGAATTCAAATGTAATTCACATATTTTATTTTTATATTAAATACACTTCTTTTGTTCCCTAGTGGTACGAGGTATAAAAGAAAGAATGGAATTTTTAAGCGATATGGAGTGTCTTGGAATGGAAAAGAAGTATCGACCGATTATACATCAGGAAATAGCACATAAGCTACGATTGATCGAATCGATTGACAAACAAAAGTCGAAGAATATTCGGAAAGAGATAAGAGATTTTGAAAAACCATTGCCAAAGCCACTTCCATTAGGTGAACTGGATGGTAATTAACGATTTTTATCGTATACTTCCTCATTCCGGTATCAAAAAATTTTTCATGTACTATTTTCAATCAGATTTAATAAACTATACGAGTACGTGACCGGCACAGAAGTGTTATTGAATACTTCCGTTATGTTTAATAAAATTTTCTGCTTACTTTCAAGAATTACATAACTTTCAACAGATTTGCAACATTAATTCCGCAAGATACAAAAATATATTTCCTTGATAGGTTACGTTCATAACTATATAAATAAGCTCATAAAATAATTGAATACTAATTTATCTATACGTTCTAAAGATGAAATAAATATTATAGAGAATTTTTTCACTTTCATATTTTTATTATGATCTACAAAGTCGTTTCAAGAGCAACATTTAATAATTATAACCCGAGTAACACGATTAATCGTGTTACAATGTGTACAAAGTGTCTGATAACCTGTACGTAACACGAAACCCCATAGATACGAATTTCCCGCGTTCCCCTCGACTCGTGTATTTTAAGTGGCACGTGCGAGAGGGCGCATGCGCGGCGGGAGAAATAAGAACGGCCGGTCGGAGAAATCGTGTTAGTCTTCAGTGTTCCGCCACACGGCGATGGCGTGTGTCAGTGGTTTCGCGGTGTTGTTTTGTACCTCGCCGACAACTGGTATCGTCGTTCGTTCGGAAACCGTGACGCGTGTGTTCGTCGATTAATCACAGAAAAGGTATCGCGTACGTGACCGTAATTACGTGAAGCATCGGTGCATCGAACCTGGCAGGATCCCGGATGATCTACAAGTGATCCAACATGGCGTCGACCGATCTGTCGTTCGGTAAATGATGAACCCGTGTACCGTACGCACCTTTGACAAGGTCTCGCCGAGGTCGTCCGGTTTTTAAAAGCGACTCGTGCCCCCTTTCATCGCGTCGAATCACGCGAACACTCCGTCGTCCCTACTCTCTCGTATTTTTCCATCTTGTCACGTTACTTTAACACGTTCACTGCTGCAATAATCACAAATATCTGTTTCCTTCTGGCCGGAACTGTTTTATCCTTGAACAGGATAATGATAAGTTTATTTAAGTGTCAATGAATTTTTTCCACCAAATGTAGTTTCTATTGCTTACAGTCGTGTATTTTGGGCTGCGTAAAAACTGCATTGATCTGAAAAGCGAACGCTGCTACTTTCCCCGGTTATTAAACCTAACAGTGTTTGAGAATTAATTGTTGATACTCGCGGCTTTTCTCGTGGATTCTCCGTGCACCACGTTGTGCTTCTCGCGGCAGGCAACGTGTTAACCTCTAACATTTATTACAAACTAAATCATCTAAAAACGAATCAAGGACGAAAATGGACATCTCTGACATAACCTTTGTTTTTTAGAAATCGGTACATTCAAAATTTGTCTAACGATATACAAAAGAAATTCATAAAAATTAATCTGCCTGGTTAGACAAAAAAAGAGAGGAAAGAACCAGTTCGAAGTGGCAGGGAAGGAAAAAGTATCGAATTAATATTTGTGCGAAGATCAGAGTAGAACTTCGATAACTGATGTCGTTGTATTCGTAATCATGGATTGACGCGTTCGCGAGATAAAGCGTCGTTTTTTTTTCCTTTTCGACACATAAATCGGCGACGATGCTTCCGGACCGTCGATTTATTCATTTCGCAACGTTGTTGTGGAATAGTGCGGTTCCGTAGTCTCGCCGCGAAACATGATGTCCTTTTATTTTTATTTTCGTCGCGGCGCTGGTCCAGGCTGCATACCGGCGTTCTACAGAGAAGTCTACGAGAAGATCTGCTCTCCCACGAGCGGTAATGTGGAACGAGAGGTGTTTAAATCCCTCCTTGTCAAGTCTCAGCTGAGCAGCTCGGTTCTCAGCCAGGTAGGCTTTCTTCGTTTCCTTGTTGTCTCCTTCTCTTTGTCGCCAGCCACGTCTACACTCCTGTCCATAAGTATTGGGACACTAACCAAATGCAAAGGGAACTTGAGAAATAATTATCATTGTTTGACGGTCTTTTAATACATAGTGTTTAGACATGTGTAATGTAACGTTAATGTAAAATAATAAAATTCATTCCTTTTGCTTCAGTTGTAATGGGTATCCTAATACATTATGGATGGAAGTGCACATACAGGGTGTCTCAGCTAACTTGATCACCTCGAATAATTACTTAACGGTACACTTTATGGGAATTTTGAGGCGTGGAACTTAAATGGCATCAAGGGGCACATCTTATAATGTAAGTGCTTTTTTTGTGGGTTGAGGGATTTCAGAGATTTCAAGGTCACCGTGATTTTTTTTTAAACCATAGATCGATAGAGTATGAAATTCTGAATAAAATGTGGTTACCTTCATACGTTCTAAACGTAATAGTGAACGAGATATTTACAAAATAATCACTGCATTGAAGTTGAGGAGCGTTCGAGCATCTATTGCTTCCAGATAGTAACTACATACGTATTAAAAATTATTTTGTAAATATCTCGTTAACTATTAGGTTTCGGGCGTATGAAGGTCAACACATTTTTACTCAGAATTTTATACCCTATCGATCTATGGTACAAAAAACAGATCATTCCATTACAAAAAATCAAGGTTACCTTGAAATCTCTGAAATGCCTCCACCCACAAAAGAGCACATACCTTATAAGATGTGCCCCTTGTTGCCATTTATGTTCCACGCCTCAAAATTTTCATAAAGTGTATCGTTAAGTCGTTATTCGAGGTAATCGAGTTAGCTGAGACAACCTGTATATTAACATATACATGGATAAATTTGTTTTTTCTTCTCAGCTAGAACACTATGACAATAAGAATTTACCATTCCCCTTAAACAATTTAGATGACCGTGAATTCTGAATCGAATATTTTAGAAATTTTATTATTGCATAATAATGAATTGTAAATAATAAATTACATAAAATATATTTACATTCTTATAAATTTTATAACAGAAATATTTTAGGTTTCGATCTTACCTAACTCACTCTGTGTACAGTTATTACAAATAATGTTTATATTAAACGAAATTTCTAAAACGTTCATAAGTTTTTTTTTAACACAAAGCAAAGGAAATGTGTGCTCCATCTGCAACAGCCTGTGATCACACGAATAACCTTGACTAATCGTGCTCGACAGACGGAACAATCTCTTATCTGTAAAAGGTTTAATATCATTAAAATTTACGTTTTAGCATGAATAATAACGTTAATGAATAGAATTCGTTAAAAAAGCTGTATTAATTGTTTATCATGAAATATGGGTCGCGGAACGTTGAAAGAGACAATTTTAAAATCTGTTGATCGAGTTATATTACGATTGCAAAGCAAACATTAATTTTCTACAAATTCATTTATTAAATGGCAATAAAAGAACAAAAACCAATTACACTTCGCAACAATGATTAGTATTGAGCATGCAAAACTGTAAAATCAATATTACCACTTTGATTACCACATCGCTCACGTATATAATCGACACAGCTTTTAGTTAAATGCTTCAATTTTTTTCTACAAGATACTAAATAAAATACTATAAAAAAAAAGAATGTTAACTCTATTGTAATAGTGTTCGTTATCGTAAAAACAATTTAAAGGAAAATTTCATTTCTTGAGAATTCGATTCTTGACACCCTTTCATCTCCTACGAATTCTATCATTGAAATGCAATTATGAATGCATGAACGAATCGATTAATAGCTCGTTGCAGATATGTTAGCTGCGCAACAAAACTGTTATCAAATTAAAGTTCAATGATGCAAATGTTTATATTTAACGTTCAGATTTTATACGTTGTCTTTTCAGTATTTCACGTTCTAATTATAGGGAGATTGGAGGAAAAAGTTGATCGGTTCAAAGATAACTATCTTTCTTATGGCAGAGTCTCTTCCGCAATTGCAACATGCAGTTGCATAATTTCTTTTTCAAATGTAAACAGATATTTTTTCGCCCTAGATGTATTCCTATGGTTATTTTGTTTAACAAAGTACTTTTATATTTTTGAAACAATTAAATGTTTGTTTAAACTTTCTTTTCTAATTGTAACCAGATAAAAATATAACTTGACCTAGTTATACGAACCGTCAAATTCGAAATAAACAATTTCGTGTAACGAATATAAGTGTCAGAACGCATATATGTTTATGCAAAATCAAAATGATATATTAATTTTCGGAAACGATAAACAAAAATTTCTCCCCTTCACGAATAATTCTACCGTGTTAAATATGTAGTGATAACTTTAACAAATAAAATTAATATTGTTAAGATTAATAATACGATATAGTAAACAAAAATTAATTTCATAGAAAACTAGACTTTTACTTCCCCTTGAACGAATATGAATGTCAATCATAAGATAAAACAATATTTCCTATTCAAAATTAAATTATAAAAATTGTAACTTACTTGCACTGATATTTGTGCCTGTATTATAAAAATCAGGTCCGTTATTTGACCGTTCGAGGCTAGAATTAATAAAACATCGTGATCCTATTTCTTTCGGAATTTGGTGGATACATATGTATAGAAATTACAGTTACATAGAATTAATTATACAAATGCAGCGAAATATTTCTTGGATACCGTCTCCTGTAGCTGTGCATTTTCCGAATAATATTGTACTCGTCCCTGGCACATACGTATAATAACGAACACATTTAATTGCGAGTTAATACGTCACTACCGAGTCGATTACATTGGTCCGACGTGTGAATTCTATTAACACGGTGAGATAACGAATAAAATGTATGTGCTTCGCGCAACGGTATATGTATACGGTGTATACGTGTCGAAACTGTTGCCACGTGAATAAATGTCCTACGTAGCGGTTCCCGACGAGGGAAAACCGTTTCAGAATTTTTACGATCGTGACGCGACTCCACGACGATTCAACTCCAGGAAGCGCTCTTATCTGCGATTAGTACGTCCCAAAGAAAAAGTAGGAACGAGAGAGATTCAGGCAGTATCATTTCTGGCCACCATTATGTATCTCGCAGAAATTATCTTCGTACGCGGGAATAGTTTGCATTTTTCATAAAACAATCGTCCACTAACTACATCGCAAAAACTTATTGAAAATACACGATTTTAGATACTAATATGGAAAGGTTAAAATTTGGCAGGATTTTGTTTCATGTACTGGCATTGAAGTCTCTCCAAGTCCTTATTTTACTGATGTACTAATAGCTTATGGTTGCTGTTAGAGATAGAAAGGTAGATATTTAAAAGGAATAAATAGGAACATCTCTAATTGACATTGGAACTATGTACCAACGATTGAGGTATACCTATACTTCCCCTCATAAGTACAATAAATCCTCGATGAGTGTTCGAAGATTCCTAGGCATTGGCAAGAAGAGGGCACCAGGTGTAACGCTGACTTTTTATTGAGATTTAGCACAGTGATAGAGCTTGGAATTCTGAAGCCAATGAAATATTTCATGTTCAGTGTCAAGGAGCCTTCGAACACTCATCAAGGATTTACTGTATTGGGATAATTATCGAATATGCAGTAAATGTTACAAAGCATTACAAAATTGCTGAAAGTCTGAAATAAATATTGTTTAGGGGATATTAATGTTCGAACATTGTTTACGCTAATGTAATGATAATAAAAGTGGCGTAAAATATATCATTTTTATGAAACATCACACTTTCTTCGTACAATTCAGGTGTTCTAATTACTTCCGATCAGTAAAAATGGCAGATTTTGAGAATACACAAATTTATAAAATAATTAATTTCTTTATTTATATATTACGGTAAAAATTTCGAGAAATCACAGGAAGTGCATTGTTATAACTAGACGGCGGAAGTTTATGCAAATTCAAAATTTCAGACACTAATATCTAAAAATTAAAATGGAGCAGAATTTTGAATTCTCTGCTAGAGGCTTGACTACGTTAATAGGAACACGAAATAGCATTAAACTTTATAAAAAATCTTTATTTTATTGCATTTTCCGTTTGAACATTCGCAGTCTGGTAATAACATTGCAATAATTTGTACAAAAGTTTACGATCTTCATGATATTGACTGCTGTGGTAGTTTTAGTGTTTAATTCTTTCCTGCTGTATAGGATTAAAATGAGAAAATTGAAATATTATGCCGGTAATGATTATATGAGGCAATATCTCATGTTGGAATTACAAGTTGAGTTATGTTTAATTTTAGTGTATTGAAGTAGTCGTAAGATTTGCATTTAAAGTGTTATTATGGTATAATCGAGTTACTATTTATTCCAAGCAGGATCGTTTTCTGTTATTAATCATTCATAAAGATTATACGCTATCGGTCAGTTGTCCCCTTTGAATGAAGTTTTGTTCACTACATTGTTTCCATCGACTATTCAGGTCCATAAAGTTATTATGGTAAGATTCTGTAACAAAAAATGATCACAGCCAATATTTCTTTAATCTGTATTACTCCAAATTTTTTTATTAGTTTAACATTTTAATACTAGGCAATTCTGCTGGTTTCACAGACAAGAACACCTCGATCCATTAGATTCAGAAATTTCAGCTGTATAAATACTTCAAAGATAGGTTGTATTATTAGAATAACTAATTTCGACAAACTTTTTAAAAAGATTACTTCCTGTTGTCGTCATTAATCATTCATGAAGATTCTATGCTATCGGTCAATTTTCCCCTTAAAATATAAAATTCTCTTCGCGGGCAGGAATCCATTGTCCCCTGTCTGCTGTTTAGTATCGTTATTTTATCACTAACACGCCCGCTGACGATATAATGCTTGGACGCCCCTCCGTAATGGTGGAAGATTACCTACCAGAAGCTCCAGCATCCATTAATGCGTTTTACAAATCTGCAGTAGTTATATACATATTTTCACAGTTTTTTTTTTCAATTTTCACTATTTAAA